CCTCAGGCTGCGGCCGGGCCTCTGAGCGTCACCAAGAAGATTTGGGCAGATACAGCCGACCGACCTCTGCAGGCTCCAGCGTTCAGTGGCCTTTCTGCTTCTGGTCGGGGGGTTAACCCGTGAGCGCGGCACTGTTCACCTGCTGCCCTTAAGACATGTTTTGCCTTCGGAAAGTGGCTGCCGTGGTCGTCTTTGTAAAATACACTGGTTTCTCGTTAAAGGGCAAAGCGGAAAAGGGAACAGCTCTGGGGTCCGGAGCCAACGGAAACGCTGCGAGCACTTTTGTTTTGTTTCTAAAACAAGGCTCCAAGAAAGAATATCACAGGGGAATAAACGCAACGAACAATTTATAAGTTTTTTTAAAAAAACACGTGACTAGCCAATTCTTTAGGACTAAAATAGATCTGGACCAACCAACAGCCTGCAGTTGAACTCTGCTTATTTTTGTGGCCATACTGGCATCTAGGATGACTTGGAACCGAAGGTTCACGCATAAAGCCGTAACATGCATCTGTTCCAAGCTTGCGTGTCAAACTGAAGAGGGGCCCAGCGGCTCTGTGAGCCTGAGCTCAGGCCAGAGTCGCTGTCCCAGTTCCTCCCAGGCTGCGGGTCAACCCAGCAGGGCCCTGGGCAGAGACTCCGGCTTCATCTTCCTCTGACTGTCCTTTCTCTCGCTCCCAAATCCACAGCCTGCCCTCTGAACTTGAGTGTTGAACACTGAACTCATTTAACAAGTGTCCTGCTACCTTACACTACTGATCTTTAATTTCTGGGGCACAAGTTCTTCATCTATAATTGAAGACAATTTGAAAGCAAGCACCTTCCTTGCTTCATGTTTTCCATATCCTCACTGCCAAGACCTAGAATCTGCATTTCACCGTGACTCAGTCATTACCTGTCCAAACAACACAACTGGGGGGGAGGGGAGAGAAAATACTTAAAATTGAACAGTAAAGTCAATATGGCTTAAATGTCTTTCTGTAGAGTGCAAACATTTATTTTTGTACATCACAGCTGGAATTACACATCTGATTCCATTAATGCTTTATTTTGTGATTTTCAGCAGGCATTAAATCTCTTTGATTCATCAAAGTATTTATCTTCTAAAAATTCTCATAAAAGTTAGCTAATATTTTCTGAAAATTTTTAGGTTTTTTTTCAAAGGGAGATAAAAATAAAATTACATATTTAGCTAAAATGCTCCTTTATTAAGTTGTTCAAAAATTTATCATACATCCTGTTATATCTGCACCAAAGAATTACATCATCAAGTATGATGAAATAAGATCAAGACGCTAAAATAAAACAGAGGGAGGAAAAGAGCTCTGATTCCAAATTAGGTTTCCACCCAATAACTAGAGCTGACATTCAACCAAGAGGAGATGGTGTTCCAGCCTCCAAGACATGCCTGCTGTCATCTCCAGCTCAGATCAACAAGACAGTTTCACAGAGCTTGCATTATTTCCCACGTCCTGCCTTCCACCTCAGCGGCGCAGCCCCTAAAAATAAAAAGGAGCGCGCGGCTCCTCCACGTCACAGCGAGCAACGGCCGGGGTTCAGGGGGCGGCCTCAGAGCTGGGTCACCGAGCTGCAGAGAGAGCCGCTTTCCCCGCCCTTCTCTGCTGGGCATAAAGGAATTGTCTGGTTATAGAAACAACTAATGCCGGTGACAAAACTAAAACTGGTCCCGGCGCCCAGGTCCCCAAATCCAGCACCATGTGTGAAAGAAACCAAGCGTCAGCGTGGGAATCACAGGCTGGCTGCAAAGCGCCTCCTCTACGGCCTGTCGGTCGCAGGCCTCCCTGAGCACGCGGCTGGATCCGCAGCTCACACGGCCGGGCTCCTGCATCCCCGGGAACCTCGCCTGCGGTTGCGGCTGGCCCCTCCGGGACGTCGCGGAGGCTGTCACTGCTCTTCCCTCTTCCCGTGTGGAGAAGGGCTTGTGTGCGGGGCCGCCTGCAGGCTGCCCTCCGAAGACCATCAGATTGGGCGGCGCCCCGTGCTCCCCCCTGCAGGGCCTCTCCCACGTTGGACACGGTTAAGAAACCCTCCCTCCCTCATTATGACCCTGGGGTGACTGCCAGGTGTGTCTCAGCTGCGCCCGTTTAGCCCTGGGACTCAGGGTGGGCTCCCTAGGTGTCCCGTGCCCGTCTCATCCGTTAGGAAGGTGGAGTGAACGAACGTATCTCCGGTCGCCAGGAGCGCTTCCGCGGGAGGGGCAGCTATTGTCTAAGTCCTGCCCCACGGTCCTCACCCCAAAACACAGTCTGGGCTGGCTCCTCTCCCCCGGCCCTGTGTCTTTTTGTCTTCATTTTCCCTAGCCAGTTTCTCTTTGACCTTTCCAAATAAATTATTTTAGCCTTCTCAAACTTCTCCAGTTTTCCCCCACGCTCCCCATTAACCCTGCTCTCTTAGACGGGAGCAGAGAGGGAGAAAGACTGCAAAAAGTGATGCTCTACAGGTTTTAAAAAGTATTTGTCACAGAAGTTTAGAGATATCCATGACCCGGACCTCTAAAGAGGTGTTGCTGTGTCTGCTCCACCTGAGATGGTAACAGTAATGGAAAGTTCTCCGGAAAAGTCTTCATTCGTCCAAATACTTCACCAGAAGAAGAGACTAATGAGGAGACTGTGTGTTTCACCGAATCTTCTAAGTCTTCCTGGACTCTCTGGCCTGCGTTAGAGTCCGGCCCCTCGTAGTCAGTGCCCAGTCGGAAGCTGGTGAGAGCTGGTGCCCGCGCCTTAAGAATCGGGGTCACTAAAGGTACCGGGACATTTTGCAAATAATCCATAGTCAGTATGGATTATTATGGACTCCCAGAGGAGTCCAGTCAGTATTCACATCTCATTTTAGGCTCCTTGGTAATCAGCTGGAACTGGTGTTGGCTGACTCAGAACAGTGGGACTGACACAGAGACGACACCGAACTCGCGCGGCCTCATTTGTGAGGAAAACCAGTGAAGGCATTTTTCTTCAGAGCTTCACGCTTGTTCGACAGTAGACCAGCGACGTCAGGGACTGTGCTGGTCACCACGTGACCCCAGCTGGCTGGTTAGTCTGTGGCCGATGACCTGGTCACACAACTCGATCATTCCTTGTCTGTCTTAAAAGCTCTGCGAGTTCTTAAAAATTAAGAACCACTATGTATGGATCACTGCCAGTGTGTGGGGAGCTACGCTAAGCCCTTTGCAGGCATGAAATCTTCAAAACCCTACGAGGCGGGTCCTTTCATAAGGCCCATTTTACAGATGAGGAAACGGCAGGGATTGATGATTCCATCCTGGTTACTCAGCAAGTTAAGTGGCAAAGACGGGACTCAACCCAAAGGCAAACGTCTTGACTGTCACTCGCCCAACCCCTCATTCCTCACGAATGATGTTTGCTCCTGGGTTGAGGCCCATCTTTACCACTTGACTTGCTGGGTAACCAGGATGGTTATACACTCCCCATTTTGACCTCAAAAGCTTCATGAGAGGAAGGGACCTTTCACGTGCACACAACAGCCAACCCTGCGCGGGGCTGGTTCACGCAGCTACACGTGAGGCTAAGCCTGGAGGTCACACGGCGCATCTTCCTGGCGGCCTTGCTTCCGGGCCAAAGGCCTTTCTGCACAACAGCAGCCCCGCTGAGAGCACATCGGTCCCCCTCCCTGCTTCCATCATTCTTTCCTCTGGAGAGAGAATTCTCAGGGGACATCACTCCGAGCTGGGCCGTGTGACTGGGAGGAGAGGGAGCAGGGGCAACGTGGAGAGAATGGGGGGGCATCAAGATGCTGAAAAGCTGAGTGTGGGAACCCTCCCTCAGCACATGATCGCGTCTCCAGGGAAGACACTGACGGTCTCTTATCTCATGAACTGCTCGGGCGAGTGAGCTGTGGCAACCAGTGAAGGGGGCAGGCTTCACACCGAGGGGTCCCAGGGTCAAGCAGAGACCAGAGAGGCCACGGGAGCGTGGGGCAGGCGGATGTGAGCACGCTGGGGACCCAGCAGGAACCTCAGGGGAGCTGTGGACACTACAATCTAGGGCCTGGGGCTGAACCCCCTTTAATCGTATCTGGAAGGGAGCAGACAGCCCTTAGCTGAGAGGGGGGTTATATATTCACGTAAGCAAATTTAAGTCATCCCGTTAGAATGGTTAAAATGTTATTCACTGACAACGCCTGGAGGCCACTGGAAGGAACTCTCATATATTGATGGCAAGAACACACGTGCTGCCTGGCTGGTGTGGCTCAGTGGTTGAGCATCAAGATCCAGGAGACTGAGGTTCGATTCCCAGTCAGGGCACATGCTCAGGTTTCGGGCTCGATCCCCAGTGGGGGGTGTGCAGGAGGCAGCCGATCAATGACCCTCAATGATGTTTCTCTCTCTCCCTCTCCCTTCCTCTCTTTGAAATGAAAAATAAAAAAATTTAAAAAAGAACACACATGCTTCACTTTTCCAGAGAACTTGGAAGTTCCTCATACAATTAAACACACACCTACCATACGCCCTCGCAATCCCCCTGTTTGAACAACAGGTCTGAACTATGCAGGTCCACTGACACGTGGACTTTTTTCAGTAAGTACATTGGAAAAGTATTTGGAGATTTGCAACAATTAGAAAAAAACTTGCAGATGAACCTTAAAATTTTCTGATGACCATCGCAATTGGATAACCATTTATGAAAGGAGCATTACTCAGACACTTAAATATAATATGAAGTAAACTGATTACAACCACAGCCACAATTATATGTCTTAGACAGAATAAAGTTGTGAGGGGGTGGGGGGTAAGAAAATGAAATGTCTGAAGTTTATTTCTAAGTCACAGACAGTCAAGTCTCTATCAGGATTCAACCCTATTACTAAAATCTAAAGTAAAAAGGTCAAGTGGAACATTGAAGCGCTTTATAGCTAACCTGCCACAATAGTATTATTTCGTAAGTGTGCAAAGCAAAGCAATTTTTTTTCCAAAAAGGAAAATGTTTTCAAATGACCTTTTATGAAATGGAAAATTGGCTTACCTCTTCCCTATGGTTCTTAATTGGCATACAGAGAATACTCTGTGTCCTGTAGCCTGTGATCTGGTCAACTTCTGCATTGAACCGCGGATCCTAGGAAGGGAAAAGAAATTCGATTTAATGACTGACCTGGTCAAAGACTGATTTGTTTTTTCCAATTTATGAGATTAGAGAACTCTAACCTTTGACTTACCTTGTTGCTCTGAATGACAGTTTTATTGTTGTAAAAGGCATCAAATCACAAAAGTTTGTATTATTTTGACAAAGACAAATTTAAGTCTTTTTGAGAAGCTGATGTTTACGAGAACCAGAAAAATACAGACTCACACAGAATGTTCAGAAAGAGAGGAAATTCAAGATATTAACCAATTTCAATAGCCTTGCTCACATAAACTCAGAAAAAAGTGGCAGCTCTCCAGCCTGCAGTACACCGGCCTGCTGCCGTCTCGCCGGCCAGCTCCTGAGCCCTCACGAGCATCTCTGCTCCGAGGCTCTTCCTCTAAATCCCACCGCCCCCGACACGACCGCTCCGGTATCGCCGCTGCGTCCCTTGCGCTGACTGCTCATGTGTTTCCTCAGCACCCTGTCCCGTTTCAGGTGTTCGTGAGAAGTTACGTCTTTGCTTTCCTTCCTCTCTCTATATAAATACATAAAAGCCGTACGGCCTCAATCAAACTGTGAACAACTCCCTAACCTCTCGGGCGTCTTTCTTTCCCCTTTCACAGAGCACAGCCCGCACATCCAGTAATCAGGAAGGGCTCCGGGAGGAGCGGCGGGTCGCACCGTGTGCAAACAGAAAGGCACAGGCCGCCTGGCATTAAACTTTAGACGGGGGCGGTGAAAGGTTGTAAGCTCTACGAGGGGCTTTACTTTATTTTTTTGGTTCATCAGGGTTCCCAATATCAGCACAGGAATTCCAAAGCATCTGTTAAACTAATGAAGGAATTCAGTAACAAACAGCATCTTCGTTACCAGATGTGATCATTCTTAGCTTGTCCTTTAAAGCAAATCTCGCAGGTGGTGGTGGTGAGAAAATGGACCAGGGGAAATGCCCAGATACCACCGTAAGGGGTGAGCTTAGCGTGGAAACACACATACCAGAACATAAACGCTGGAACAGCGTTCAAAGCGCTGGCCCTGGGAAGTTACACGCTCAGCCTAATAATAGCATCTGCTCTCATAAGTCTGCTTCTGGAATTCCCTCCAGAGAACATGGAAGAGCCACGCTGGAAAATCCTCATCTTTGAAGGTCATTTCTATTTTTTGTAATTAGTCTAAAGTCACGCAAAGCCAAAGCTGTAAATGAAGTACATGATGACACCTGATTCACTCAATTGGGGTCAGAAATGAGGCCAATTTTCCCCTAAGAGAACCAAACTTGGCATTAAAGACAATTTCAAAAGAAAAGTTTTAAAACGGTGGGTAATCAGTATATATATTTTATATTATAAAAAAACGCTACTGTATTTTTGCTTTCTTCTTGCAAATATGCTCAAAGTTATATTGAGACACAGAGAAAACCCTGGCTGAGTGTTTCTAAGAAATAATTCTTAAATAACATATGACAGGGTTTCCCAAAAAATGCGTACGCACTCTGAATAATTATAAAGGCAGTGCTTATTAAAATGCATTTCATTTTCAAAATTGAGCTATCAGCTGTTACAGTGTGTGTACATTTTTGGGGACACCCTGTATATTGCAAAGGATCTAAAGAAAGCAGACAGGATACTGATATTGATGAATTAAAGAAGTAGAAAATTAACTTATATAGTGAATTATCCTCTAAGCTAATATCAAAATAGGAATTAAAAGTGATTATCAGCAATTATTTTGTTAATGAATATTTTAATTACAAGACCAATTTATAAGAAAGAAGGTTAAGCCCAACTGTGTAATCACGTCAATAGCTTCAGACAGACTGGAATTAGTAGGACGTTCATAGGTTTTGTTCGGTGTAGACCAGAAATTAAAATCCACAGCAGCCTGACGGCCCTCCTCAGGGTAGGTGGGAGGCAGGCACACTTCCCATGCACTTCAGGCGGATCGGGCATCGCACGGGGGTTTCCTTTAACAACACACTCGCTGCAAAGGCAACACACACGTGCAGGTCCCGGAAAGAGCAGAGGGACAGCGAGCCCTTGCGTGGCCGGCCACTCCCGCTGTGTGAGCGGGGCTGCGAAAGCACAAGCCTTCGCCTCCACCGGCCCGACGGAGGGGCTGGCGCCCCCCTGGCCTCTTGCTGGGAAAGGGCGCTGGACGGAACCCGCGAGGGCACCGCAGGGGGGCCCCCACCACGGCCCCGCAGTGCCCGTCCGGCTTCTCCTGGGGCCGCTGCCCGCTGGGAGGGCGGCTGGCACCGGGCGGAGCTCAGGCTCCGAACAGAACCGCGAGGAGCTCGGGCTTCCAGGCGGCCCCGCAGGGCCGCGTGGGGCTGGGGGGCGTATGCAAGGGGGCCGCAGAGACTGAGTGGCTCTTCTCGTCACACCCGCTAAGAACTGTCCAAAGGACCTGCTGCAGGCTGAGAGCAGTCAGGGAGGGTTTAGACCCTGGGGTCCCCCCCAGAGGAGACCTCGCTCAGCAGCTCGGGCACCAGTTGAGACACAGGACGCAGCTCTTAAAGCAAGGACCTTGCCCTGGATCGACTCTGCTCAGGAGGGACAGTCCACAAAATAGCTGGCCTGTATTCTAAAATATGTGTCAGGGAAGATAAAGAAACAGGGAGAAACGATTCCAGACCTAAAGGAGACTAGAGACACGACCAGAGTGCGCAGGCTGTGGTTCCGGGTGCGATCCTGAATCCGAGGGGAAAATAACTACAGACGACATTCATGGGACAATTGACCAAATCTGACGATAGGCTTTTAGATAACAGCATTATATCATAAAATCTCCCGATTATTTGTTTTTATTTTTTTAAATCCTCACCAGAGGATATGTTCTTTTAAACTGATTTTTAGGGTGAGAGGAAAAGAGAGAGAGAGGAACATCGATGTGAGAGAGAAACATCAATCGGTTGCCTCCCCTATGAGCTCTGACTGGGGATCGAAACCGAAACCTAGGTATGTGCCTTGACCGGGAATTGAACCCACAACCTTTTGGTGTATGAGACAACGCTCCAGCCAATGGACCCACACCAGCCAGGGCTAAAATTTCCTGACTTTGATAAATGCATTACAATGGTGTAAGAGAATGTTCTTGTTGAAAAATATACTGAAAACTTACTGAAATATTTAGTAAAAATGTCTCCAACTTATTCAATGGTTCATAAAAAATAACAGACATATATTACTTATATAGAGAAAAAGAGAAAATTGATAAAGCAAATGGGGCCAAACATCGATGGAGAATTGGGATAACAGCTAAGTGGAAGCTTTTTATATGGGTCTTTCTTGCAACTTTTCTGTAAGTTTGAAATTATATAGAAAGAACAGAAAGCAAAAAAGGAAATAACATGATAGACTTGCCGAACTTCAGGCTGGTTTTCCTCTGGAGTGGCATTTCAGGGCAATGCCTCAAGATAATGGGAACACTGAGCAAAGACAGGTACCGCAGTTCCCAAACTGTGTTCTCTGGGGCATGACTGTGCCACAGCAGATTGCTAGATTTATCAAAATTAAAACAGTCACTAGAGTTCTGTCTTCCTTCTAAAATTCATTTTGGAAATACTTTTATTCATCAGAAATTCAGTGCAGAGAGCCAACATTTCTTGGTAAATACTTGAAGTAGAAAGCAAGGCCTGTAGGGTGAGAGATGGTGATGATTTATCTGGAGATAGAATGAAAAGGGAGGAGTGAGGTAGGGTGGGAGGAACCGCAGCTGGTGGTGCAGGCCACACGAGTGGCCACGCGAGCTTTCCCTAGAACCCCCAGGTCTTCCCCCCAGAAGTCAGCGCACATGGAGTGGCTGTCCTTGGAAACAGGAGAGGAGTCCTGGGTTTGCATTCCGTTTGACCGGGGAGAGAGAGGGGGTGCTGACAATGTGGACCCTTTGGGAAAGCTTAGGGAGGCTTATGGCTTCCACAGGACATGGAGCTAGGGTTCAAGGCCATCTGTGCTGGTTCATTTCATGTGTCAACTTGACCAGGCTAAGGGATGCCCAGCAGCTGGTGAAACCTTGTTCCTGGGTGTGTCTGTGAGGCTGTCCCCAGAAGGATTAGCCTTTGCGTCGGAAGATGGGTGAAGATCGCCCCCAATGCAGCGGGCATCGTGCAGCGTGCCAAGGCCTGAATGGAACAAACGCAGAGAAGGGCTACTGTGCTCTCTCTGCCATTGGCTCTGCTTCTCCGAAGAACCCCGACTAATACACAGTCCAGTCTAGAAACTGGGTGATATCTAGTTCATATACGTAAGGAAAACGCCAAACACATTTCTACTGCTGTTCTGATTGTTCTGTGAATATCTTAGTATCGACAAATCCTGCGCCGTGTCCCAGAAAGTGCATGAATGACGGGTTGATGGGGGAAATGACAAGTGGCTGAACATCAACATCTGGGCAGCACCTGCCAACTAACCTCTCATGGGGACCTGCGGCTAACCGAGACCTGCTGGCCTACGCAGTGGGCCTCGTCTTATACTTTAAGCATGTGAACGTGTTATTTTATTCCTAATAAAAGAGCTGAATTCTCTGACTTATACCATTCTGTTACAAAGTTTTAAGAAGTGAATCAAATGTTGACTTGTCTCACAATTAATGGATCTGTGAGACTATTGTTTTATTCTGAGCTTCAGCCTGAGCACGATTAGACTTCGTGGCCACCCCGTGGTTTCCACTGCGACATTACACACTTCTAAAGTGTTCGATGGTCACGTGAGTTTAAGAAATGCTGCTGTAGAGTGTTGTTTTACAGACCTGTGTTTAAAGACTCAGAAACCGTTAGGATGGCTTTGCATATTCTAACTACTTTCACAAAAGGTAGGAGACAGTGGTTTGATTATTAATTACTGGTGGGGCTGACTTCCATTGTTCGTACCAATGTAAGTTATATGTCACAGACCAACCCCACAACTTCTAACGAAATTCCCGGGACACAAATAGTTTCTGCAAGGCCACCGTAAACACAGGTCAAGGATGCCAAGGGTCAGGTGGCAACTCAGGAATCACAGGCTAAGAGGCTTCACCCTGGGAGCGTGACAGGCTGGGGACATGGGCTCTTTCAGACAGCCGCACAAGACTTAAATCATTACCAAGTGCAGAAAAACAATTACATTGCCAACATTCAAAGATGGTAAACAGATTAAACAAAGTGCACATAAGTGAAGAAATTCTCGGGACGAGGGAAACTAGGGACCATGGGGACAAATGAAGGTGTCCTCAGCAAAACCAAAGCATGTCTATGGTCCTTCTGTACTTGGGGCTCCATTGCCATTGAAAATGGAAACCCAGCTGTCACCTAACTAAGGAAGGGAATTCTCCAGCTGTGTCCTGAATACCCTCCTGGGGATCAGCTACAGTATGACCTTGCTACAGAGGTCAAAGAGGTCATGGAAGAATCCAATTTGAACAGATCACTTGTCCTGAATGGCTTCTGAAAAATATTTCAGGGTTTATCTACTTAACCTGTCCCATCTCTCCCCAAATTCCTACCCTCAGTACTCCTCACCAGTTGTTCTTATTTATTTATTCACCCCCCTTCAAACCCGAGTCACCCTCGGCTGTTCTCTGCCCCGACTCCATCCCCTCCAGGCTGCCACGTCCAGCAGCTTCACTTCCCCACCCGCAATCCACTCCCTCCCCATCTTTAAGGCCAGGGCCCGCTTCAGGTCCTCCTTCCCCACACTACTGAACTCAGTTCTCCTCCCAGCTCCAGTGTTTTTCCCTCTACTTCATTTTATGACCACTGTAAAATTCATCTTTCCAAAGCACAGTCGGAGTCATCCTGGTGCCCCCTGGAAACCACGGTGACTGCTCCTCCTGGCCTGGGCCCGCATTCCACTCCCCAGCCGGGCACTCAGGATGCCATTCGCTCGGGCTCTGCCCCTGCAGCTCCCCAGTGTCTGACCCACACGCTTCCATACGAGCGCAGGGGTCTCTGCTTGAAGCTCCTCTGAACATCTGCACGTCTCACGCACACAGCTCCACCCGCTCACATCTTACCTGCAGCCCGGCTCTATTGTCAAGCCTTGCTCCCTCGAATAACGCCCTCCAGCTCCCCAAACGGCTGTCATCTCCTGCTTCCCGAACCCACCCACTCTCCTCAGCATCTATTAGGCCCTGCTTTCTAGTCTACTTATCTATCTTCTCCACTATAATTTTTGTTGAATCGATATTTATTAAGAGCATCAGGCACTGTATTAGGCACCAGGGATACAGAGGTGAATAAAAAAGCCATGACCCCTGGAACCGCGCAGAGGAGCTGCACCCTGGGAGGACCGCGGGCCCCCTGCAGCGCAGTCCACTGCGCCACGGGGCAGGTAGCTACAGGAACTGTTCTCTCAAAGCGCTGGAAAGTATTTCATCAACATCCAACGTGCCATTCCAGGAAGATGCTTTGTTTAAGACACGTAATTCTAGCCCAGCCGGTGTGGCTCAGCGTCTGAGCATCGACCTAGGATCCAGGAAATTGCAGTTCAATTCCCAGTTGGGGCACATGCCCGGGTTACCTGCTTGATCCCCAGTCGGGGGCGTGCAGGAGGCAGCCGATCCATGACTCTCATCATTGATGTTTCTCTCTCTCTCCCTCTCCCTTCCTCTCTCTGAAATCAATAAAGAGATATTTAAAAAAAAAAAAACCACTAAAAAAACCACCCCAAAACACCCATAATTCTATTAATNCCCTTCCTCTCTCTGAAATCAATAAAGAGATATTTAAAAAAAAAAAAAAACACTAAAAAAACCACCCCAAAACACCCATAATTCTATTAATAAAAGGGACCACTCTAAGTACGGAATTTGAAGAATTATATAGTATAATCTTTAAACCCACAATTAAAGACCTGTTCAGAACTCTACAAGTAAGAGAAATATCAAATCTTTCAACTGAAATATCTTAGAGTAAAAATTTCCATTTTAAAAACTTTATTTGCTTAATTTAAAAAAATGGAAGAAAGAAGGAAAGAAGAAAATCAGGCTTTGGAGTCAAGGAGACTGAGCGAATGAGTATGATTCTGAATGAATGAATGAATGAATGAATGAATGAATGAATGAATGAATGAAAAAGCCTACAGGGTGGTGGGTTTGTTGGGGCTCATCATTTTAGGGCCTCAGTGGAATCCTCGGAGGTTCGAGTGCAGCTAATATGGACAGGGACATGCAGAGAGCAAGTAAAAAATGGGAAAGACGCAGCCACAAGATGGGCTGTGTCAAACCCTCAGTAGGGGGGAAACAAGGCAAGGTGGCTCAGTGCCGTGTCGGTGTCTCAGCCACCAGCCAAGAAGCTCTGGCATTTAAAGATGCAAGGTTCTTACCATAAGTCCCAATTTTAAATAAGTGTACAAATTGTTACAACTCAGTTTCAAATATTCCTAAAAATTCCCACTCACAGCATCGCCCACTGCCCCCCACTCACAGCACCGCCCACTGCCCCCCACTCACAGCACCCCCGTGCCCGGCACTGACTGGCGGTGCCC